ATATTTAGCACTTTTTTTAAAAAAAACTACTTGTTAGTCACACTTTTTACACAGAAATATCTTAAATCAGAGCTGAAAATAAGAAATCAAAAGTCAAAAAGTACAGAAACAAACTTGACTTCCGTAGTAAGTATGCTGAAGTAATCTAGACGAGGATAACTGTAGATTTATGTCTGATTCTAGCATTTCCGGTGTAGTGAAGGAGAACACAGGTGGGGTAACCGAATTGTATTTAACGAAAATTACAGAGTTACTCAGTAAAATAGGAAAAACCATATCGTAAATCGTTCATTTGCAAAATATCAGTTCATCATATCGAACTGGACTGTTCCTGTTGCAAAACATCAATCCATTGTCACTATTCATGCGTTTCATAGAAATTCCATTGTCTTCTAACTCTTCCTTTCTTGATCTTCCCCCATCTTCTACTGCCAGACATTACGTTGACACTCACGTCATATACCACTAATAAGTAGCCCACACCACACCGGAAGCACCTGGAATCATGCTAAAGTTAGTAGTAACAAAACTGGTGATTATGCAACATGTGTGTAGCAAGCAACGTGGGCAGATATACGTTGATTCATTTATCCAAAAGGCAGGACAAGCCATGTGCGCTAAACAACATTAGGACACCCACACACACACATGCACACTACAGATTGAATTATGATCAACTGGTCTACATTGTTACTCACTATCAGAAGAAAAATATCTGAAAACCGCCGTTATAATGCTTACATATTGTGGCGGGTTGCATTATATTCTTCGTCGGGCTCATCAATTTTTAGTGACTGCATTGGATTTGGATGTTGGACCGAGTTAAACTAGAAGTAGGGCTCGCCAATTTAGTGTCCAGCGATGACTCTGATATTTACAAATGATCGAGTATGTTATGAAATGAAACTCTTTTTTCGGTTTCCGTATACATCATATTTAGGTGAACTCTGTTTGTGCGACGGGGTTAATTAGAATCCAAATACGGATTCGGGTTGTAATAATTTCTTCTCTCTTCCTCTTTGGCTTTGAGGATTCCATCCAGGTGAGGGGTTGTCTTGTGGTACAGTTGGGTGTTTGCCTTATTTTCGTGTTCTATCCACCTCCGGCTTTTCTACCTAATTTCTTCCTCAGCTGGAGGAAGCTAGTTTGTTCTCTTCAACAGCAGATTGTTGCTGATGTTGTCTGGCCATCTGTATACGAATACCTGTATCTTGTGGATGATGACTTTCGTGATACTCCAAGTTTTCGTCCGTATACAGCAGAACTGTATTGACATTTGCATTGAAAACTCTAACTTTTATGTTTGTCGACAGCCTTTGCCTATAGCACAATTCTAGAGTTTCTGTCGGTCTCAAGCTCGGATAAACGAGTAGGTTTGGGTATGGAGTTAGTGGGCTCATGCAGTAGGAACTTAACTTGACGATATTTCAAAAATAGGGGTTATTGGTCAATTCCTATTGGTTAATTCCTACTGGTCAATTTTATGATCATCCTAGGTATCAATGTCACGTACCGCAATGTTATTTCCAATTGGTCGTCCTGAATTTCAATGTCACTTCAAATGTTTTTTCCTATTGGCCGACTAACTGTCAATGTCATAGAATTCGATGATGTTTCCTATTCAACCTAAATGTATAAATACGCATTATCCAGGACCCGGACCTGGATTCCTAGTCCGGGGTCCTGATTCTGTTCTGGATTCGGACCTCGTGTTTCCGGAATGCTTGTAGAATACAGGATCTACTTCATATCAAGTATTCTTATTTTTATTCAATGGGTTTGTTGGGACACTCGGATAAGAGTGACATGTCGAGTCGCTGGATCCTCGAACTTCGCTCTCGTTTTCCGACTAAGATAAACTCGTAATCATTCAAGCATCTCAAATGCCGTGTTTACGTTCATGTGCAACAAATGTGATACATGAACTTTTAGTGGCTTATTCAAAATTCCAAAGTAGGGCTCATCCACTTTAGTTATCCGCGATTCGACATAGACATGAGAATGAAAAGTGTGCAAGTAAAGCAAAGCGAAACAGCGAAGTCGAGTAAGTCAACTACTCAATGCGGCACAGCATAATAAATGAATATTTATAGTCAGACAAATTAAACTGCCCACACCGTGGAACGTTGTTTCTTGAGAGACCTGAAAAGGAAGATTGATTAGTGTTGGTCTTACAGACCAACAGCTATTGATGCGTCTCGATTTGTTATGTTCGTCACTAAGTACGCTCGAGGCTATTACGAGTTCACCTTAGTTGATAAACGCGAACGAGACTTTTACCAGCGTCCAGGTAGGCTACCTTGAATCCCCAGGCTGAAGTAAAAAGGCTTTGTAAGCGTAGAAAGTATATTCTACAAACACCCAGCAATCACAGTACAATCAAGCACACAACTCTCGTTTATTTATTATACATCATAGAAACGTCCTTGGGACAGTTAAGAAAATAGCACACTAAAATACACAGCAGCCAATCACAGCCATGGATTTTCCTGGGGTGGGGAATGAAATCTCAAGGTCAACTGATCAGCCCATGCTAGCAAACGTAAAAACCAAAATAAGTCATTTAACAAGCGAGTTTTGTGTATCTAACATCCCCAACACGGTTGTTTTGCTAAATCATGTAATCTTCACTTAATACTTGAAAAAAATTCATCACATTCAAATGGATAAATTATGCTGATACTGTATTATAAATAATAATAATAAGCGAACAATAGTGTTGTATTCGATTAGATTGTCATCAACAGGCTTTACTCTCTCTCTCTCTCTAATATACACGAATATTCTTATAGGAAAAAGGTTCAACCAATCAAGGCAATTTATTACGAGTGTTAATAATCACAATGAAATGTGAAATAGATTAATTACATCACTCTACACATATAATAGTTGGAAAAGTACATGTTGACAGTAGGAAGACAGATGTGTACTGATAGTAAGTAGTAAGAAAAATGCAATGCGATAACAAAAGTTAACTAAAGTAATTAGTATAGAACATTCAACGCTGCCAAACTTGCATTGACATTCTCCAGTTGACCACCAACGATGTCTACCGAAACGAAGAATAAGTTCCCTGAGTTGGCCTCCTCTATGTGCATTTACAAATTCAGCTGATCCAGTGGAGATAGCTAGCTATATCGGGCGTACTACCAGGCAACTTAACCAACGAATGAGTGAAAATCTCCTAGCATGGTTTATGAAAGGCCAGTTAAAAACAATACGTAGTTCTATCTTGGCATATCTGGTTGATTGTGGTCACATTGTAGATAAGTCTAGATCTTTTCGAGTGATCTATCGTATACCTCTATCATTTCCCAACGGAGTTCGATCCCGTCTCCTACACACAGAGCAGAAGCCATAGGAATTCGTACATTCAACCCCAATTTATGTATTCAGAAGAAATTTGTGACACTCCTATTCCTTCTTCCGTGGCCGGATATGACTAAACTAAAAAAAATTTATTCGCATTATTTTCACAATCAGTGCTTGTTTGTGATTTTCTGCCTCTTTCCGTTTATATTCTTCACTATCTATTTATTGTTACACACTTCTTATTAAGCGTTATGGTTTTAATGTTTTTGTAATGATTATTTTAAGTCTAATTATCCACGAGGTTTGACCTACTGTAGTGAACGAGAACGCAGGTGGGGCAACCGGGTTGTATTTAACGAAAATTACAGAGTTATTCATTAAAATCGGAAAACCATATCGTATATCGTTAATTTGCAAAATATCAGTTCATCATCATATCGAACTGGACTGTTCCTGTTGCAAAACATCAACCCATTGTCACTATTCATGCGTTTCATACAAATTCCATTGTGTTCTAACTCTTCCTTTCTTGATGATCCCCCATCTTCTGCTGCCAGACATTACGTTGACACTCACGTCATATACTACTACTTATAAGTAGCTCGCACCACACTACTATTGACAACAAACTTTTGTTATCGTATCGTGTTTAATTTTTCTTATTACTACCATCGGTACACCTCTGTCTTCTTTTGCTATCCACTTGTACTGTTGCCTATTATGTGTGTTGTGACGTCGTAATCTACTGTTCGTTTATATGTGTTGTTCTAATTTTTTGCATTATAGTATTATGGAGATGGTCGTTTTTACAGATTGAAATGATGAATGAATGAGCCATTAGAAAACTGGATGACAGTTAGTGACTACTCATCAATAATAGTGCGCATCCACGGCACCTAATACTCGCACGATTTGAAGCCAGGTTCAGATGCTAAGTAGTGTTCACGCGCGACACTGAAGCTCTTGGGTTCGAATCCTGCACGAGTAGGAGGAATCATGGATGCTCACTGTTACTGTTGAGTAGTCGCAAACCAGGCGCGAAGAAACAACCGTTTTACATTATATTAGGATATTCATCCAATATCATACGAGAATTATTATTGGTCAATTCCTATTGCTGAATTCCTACTGGTCAATTTTATGATCGTCCTAGATATCAATGTCACGTACCGCAATGTTATTTCCCATTGGTCGTCCTCGATTTCAATGTCACTTCAAATGTTTTTTCCTATTGTTCGACTAACTGTCAATGTCATAGACTTCGATGCTGTTTCTTATTCGACTAAAATGTATAAATACGCATTATCTGAAAAGTTTTATAACCAGGACCCGGATCCCTAGTCCGGAGTCCTGATTCTCTTCTGGACTCGGACCTCGTACTTTCTGAATGCTTGTAGAATACAGGTTCTACTTCACATTCAAGTCTTCTTATTTTTACTCAAAGGGTTTGTTGAGACAATCCGATTAACGTAGCATGTCGTGTCGCTAGATCCTCGCTCTCGTTTACCGACTAAGATAAACTCGTAATCGTTCAAGCATATCACAAAATCACGTGTTTACGTGCATGCGCAACACATTGCTTCCATGTCATTAATGGTGGTCTGACAATTACTGATTCATTCAGTGCTCTCATTTTCATCCATTCCTTCGTAAATCAATCAATCAATCAACCAATCAATCAATCGGATCTGTCAAAACAAAACAAACTATTTGTGATTTATTGCATCACAAGAGGAAAACATGATAACATTGTTTATGCAAAACATGATTAGAAAAAATATACAAGATTGGTTGGTTGTTGATGTAAAATACTAACCACCACCACCAACAATAAAAGGAAATTACATTGCACTGTATGTGTGTGCGTGTGTGCGTGCGCGGATGATTAAATTCAAATTCAATTTCGAGAAATCACCGAATAACCACCAACCAGGAGAGAGCAAAATAACAAAATACAGAGAGTAGAATGATCGATCATCATCATCATCATCATCAGCAAAAATAGAAAATGTGGTTTTGTTATTTTTGTGTTGACTTTCAACTCACAAAGATAGAAAGAAGAAAAAACCAAACAGCGAGGAAACATTTTTTTTTCGATAAATAAAAACACGAAAAAAAAACATTTTCTCTGTGCTTTTTTTTCTATTGAACGAGGAGATTCAATGATGCGGTTATTTTCAAATTAAATTCAATATGAAAAAAAAATCGATAAAATGAGCACGGAGCGAGATTGGATGGCGGAATCTAACCGAAGGGTTCTCAAAATCATAGAAAAAGAAACAACTATTTACAACAAAAAAAAATGTGTTGTGCATGAAAAGTTAGGTTCAGTTTTTTTTTTGAAAATAAATAAGGGATACTAAAAATAGTAGTGTCAAGGAACGTACACACATCAGTAGTAAGTAGTAAGTAGTAAGTAATGGTTTTGCGATAAATAACACCAAACACCACCCACCCACACACAAACATACAAACATAAATAAACAGATGACGACGTTTTTGTGCGGATTCATCAGTCGACTCAGCTTGTTTTGTTCTTCTCAATGACGCTGTGTGTATGGCTCTTACAGGTGACGATAACAAGGAGGAGAGGCATTAGAAAGAAGTTTGATTCGCTACAACATCATCTGTGGAGACTTGTGGTGGTAGGATAGCGCAAAGATATCGTCCAATATTGATGGGATCTTCGCATTGAGTTGAATCAACGCCAGTGTTCGTTTGTCGTACATCGATCACAGTGCTTTGACGTTGAACATTGCCGGAAGGACAAGCACCAGCTGCTGTGACAACAAATTTATGCTTTAACAAATTATCTAATGAAGGTCGATCACTCGCTGGACGTTGTAGGCATAAATTCACCAGATCGATAAAATCATCAGAGAAACAAAATTGTGGTAGATGAGGAGGTGGTTGATCAACAATATACGATAATAATTCAAATATTGCCATTGGACCAGAACTTGGATTATTGACAGCTAATAAATTGAGAGAAAGGAAAAATGAATAAATAACTAAATGACTTTGCAGTCAGTGTGCTGTTAAGGGTATGAGGGCGGTTGTCACTTCACGGTTGCCCACACCGTGAAAGGTTGTTTCTTGAGGAACCTGAAAAGAAAGGTAGATTAGAGTTGGTCTTGGAGACCTGGATGCGTGACCGCAGAGCCCAAGGGACAACTGCTTAAGGCCGGTCACGCATGGCCTTTTGATGAAAGGTTTTTTGAGAATTAGCTCTGCACTTGAAAGCACTTAGTGCGCACCCTTAAGCAAGGAGACGGAAATACATGACGTAGGGTGAGGTGTGAAATTTTTAGGGTCGATCTTTTCTAACCCTTCCTTCCTTATGAGACAGACAGACAGACAGACGCAACGTAAAACTTTGTACATAAGTACATCAGTTCATGTTGCCATACCACATCAGCACAGAGAAGTAATCGTCAATTCAAATCCAATTGTACAAGAGGTAGTAAAGGTATTAGAAGTAATCGGAGAGGTTAGGATTAGAAGATATTATTCAAGAAGTATGATTCAGTGAGAAAAGTTGAGGGAGTCGAAACTAGAGGGGTTGAAGAATCAAGAAGATTAGGATTTGAGAGAACACAAAGAATAAATGCACCGGCGCCATTGCGAACGGTTTCGAGCCATGTCATTCAAGGTCTCTAACCATGGATTATTATCATCTCGTGGACCCCAACCAGGTAGTCGACAATTACCGACATGGCTCAGTCCACTAGTCAATGACTTCATGGATTTCTACCATGTTTTGGTTTGGCCGCCCCTAACTTTCTTCCAACCTACTCCTACACTACAAAACAAAGTTCGTCGAGGCAGTCGGTGGTTCGGCATACGCAACACATGTCCCAACCACCTCAAATGATGAAGCTTCATTACTTCATCGATTGATCTGCCATCCTTGCCTAGTACTTGTTTCCTAACGATCACATTGCTCACTCGGTTGTCCCACGGTATACAAGCAATGCTTCGAAGACACCTATGATCGAAAACAAGTAACCCACGAATATCTTCTACTCCCACTGGCCATGTTTCACAGCCATAAAGTAAGACGGAGCGAACTACTGCGCAGTACACTCGTCCTTTGATTAGAGAACGGATATCACGCCTACGCCATAAGTGACGCATGTTGGCAAAAGCCAATCGAGCCTTCTGTATCCGTGCTGAGATTTCGTCAGTCACCAGGCCATCGGCACTGATGAGACTCCCCAGAAAAGTGAAGCGGTCTACACGTTCGACTACTTCACTCCCTATCACTAGTTCAGGTGCCGATGCAACCCAATCTTGAAGCAACATTTTGCATTTCGAGGGGTAAAACCGCATCCCGAACATGCTTGCATTGTTGTTTAGGGTGGTCAGAAGACTCTGCATTTTGTCAGCGTCTTCATCAAGTAGGACTATGTCATCGGCATATTCTAAGTCAATAAGCGAGCCACTTGGTAAAAGGTCTACTCCTGAAAATTTAGGCGAGGATAAGGTTATGACTAGGAGCATGTCTATGATAAAATTAAACAAGAATGGAGAAAGTGGACATCCCTGACGGACACCACTTGATGTAGAGAATTCCGGTGACAGTTCGCCATAAGCTCTCACTCGACCAGTGGTGTTCGAGTAAAGGGCTTGTATAAGGTTAATGTACTTCTTTGGTACACTTTTCAGTGATAGACACTGCCACAGAACCTCACGATCAACAGAGTCAAATGCCGCCTTAAGGTCTAGGAAAACAACTATTGTAGGACGCCTAAATGTGTGTCTGTGTTCCAGGACCTGTCTGAGTATGAAGACGTGGTCTATACAGCCACGTCCAGGTCTGAAACCAGCCTGGTTTTCTCGAGTCTGCTCTTCACGAGCTTTCGTTAAGCGCCGAAGTATTATTGAGGCCAAAATTTTAGATACTATATTAGTTAGACTGATTCCCCTGTGATTTTCACAAGAAGACTTTTGTCCTTTCTTATAGATTGGGAAGGCAGCATCGCTGCAGAGGCTGGTTGTCCAATGGAAACACCTTACTGCTGTCACACCCCTCCATCACAGTCAGCAGTACGACTTTGCCCTTAGACCTTGAATAGCTGCTTTTAGTCTCATCGTTCTCCAATCGACCTGCCTAGCAGGGTAGAACCTTCAGGAACATATGTTCCAGCCAATATAGCTCGGTTGGGTCATCACATGATAGGCAAGCCCGACCACCACGTCAAGGTAGCACCTACGGTCGGGAAATGACTTTGCATCAGAGTATGAGGGGGAGATTGTTGTTTCAATATATAATTAAATCGTAAGCGAACTATTGTTAAATCTCCATCAGAAACCTGGCATCGCTGGATAGCCGTTTCGTTCAGGTAGGAGACTACTGATCAGTGGCAGTGCACATCCACGACTCCAATGACTCACAGAGTTCAAACCTAAGACCTTTAGTCTTGCGAGCGAATGCCTAACCTCGGGACCACCGAGGTTCTCGGAGTTCTAGTGAGAAGACTTGGTCAGTCGAGTTCAACCTTTATAGGTAGTAACTACTAAAGACAATGACTGAAGCTGTGCGAAATCCTTAGATTGACCAGAGTTGGACATTGAAATCGCTGAATGCAGGATAAATGGTCCTCAGGATGAACGTTCGCTGGTAAGATCGAACATCCTAGATTCAAGTCTTGCGAGTAGCAGAAGTCATGGGTGCACACTGCTGACGAATAAATGATTAAGAAGATAGGCACTGAGATGGAGATTTGGATTACACTAACTATTATTAAGATTGAGTTAGTAGTTAGTAGAAGTATCAGCAGTAATTGAAAGGATTACGTATTAAAAATATGATTCCAGAAGTATAATACAGTGAAATAAGTTTAAAAAGAGAAAAATCGGTCAAGAGGAAGTCAGAAGAGAAAAAACACTAAGAATGGACGCATCTACACCACTGCAAACGATTTTGAACCATATCATTCAAGGTCTATAACCACCGGTACGATTGTTCCACGGATCAATACCAACTAGTCTACACCGACAAACATAGCTCAACCCACTTATCCGTGACTTCATGGATTTATGCCATTAGTTATCTCAATTACATTTAACACCACCCCCATAATTAAATGAAGTGGTTAACACATTCCACTGTGACACTCACTAGACGCGCAATGAACTAATCTATCGACAGTCAAAAGAGTTGATCGAAAGTGAATATTTTTGGTATTCGCAAAAATCAATTTCTTACCAGGAAGTGGTTTGCCTTCTTTAGCTGCTTCTAAATGTTGTTCCAAATTCACTTCTCTCTGTGAACTGAAAGCGCTTAAATACACTTGATCATCTTCAATAGCTGGAATTGGATATCGACCAGTAGCCAATTCAACTAAGGATAATCCTAAACTCCAAACATCACTTAATGTGTTGTATTGTTCACCGGTTAAACGTTCCGGTGCCATGTAACTTCGTGTACCGACAAATGAATTGGCCAGTGAATCGATTAATTGACCACTTACACCAAAATCACATAGTTTCACATCACCTGTACGATTGACAAGGATATTGGATGGTTTGACATCTCTGAGAAAAACAAAAGAAATCATTCTTCGTACATGAATCAATCAACACATTATTGCGTAATGTAAAAAAACAAATCAAACGAATTCTGTGCTACTTAAAAACAATTAAGTAGTAAACATAGTTATTGATCAATATAATGGCAGGCAGAAGAAATTCACCAGCAGGAAATTCATCATAATTACTTTGAATCAAAACTGAAATCCGAAAATAATCATGGAATAAGATTGAAGCGTTAGATGTTAGCACATAAAATAAATGAAACTATTCCACTATGACTGCATTCATGTCAGGTTACATGATGCCATCAACCATAGTTACTGATGCGGATCAGATCAGCAGCGAACAAGTCTATTACTTGTTATGTTTACCTCAAACTTTTATTTAAACTATTCCTCTATATTATCAAATAGTGTGCATCGTAGTTGGTTGTGGTCAAACACAGTTTCATTTGATAGTGAAATCATGAACCAATGATCATTGCTAGACCACCATTATACACACCAGGAACCACTGAAAGACAGGCCGTTTCATCCTAGAAGGAAATTCATCCACAGTGCGCATCCATGACTTTTGTTACCCGTGGGATTCGAACAAAAGACGTTCGATCTTGCGCACAGTCGCCTTATCTCAAGACCAACGGTTTTTATATCTAACTTTGATCAACACCTAAGGCAACCTCACCCATTCGTCTTTGCTAGTTACTGCCTACACCTGAAAAAGTTGAACTCCGTTGGTCACGTCTTCTCACTAGAACTCCGATGGTGATTTCCTCACGAAGCTAATCACTAGTGAGCACATTTTTTGACTCCGCATTATAGTACTGTGAAGATCGTTTTGTGTTGAGGTAGCGAAAAATCCTTAAATTTTATCAAAGTTAGATACTAAACAGCGTCGGATGCCGGCCTAGTGGTCCGGAGTTTAAGTGTTCACGCACAAGACTCAAGGCACTGAGTTCGAGTACCGCGAGAGTGGCAGGAGTGGCAGTAGATGCGCATTACTGATGAGTAATCTCATACCACGACAAAAACAGCCGTCTTTCAGTGCTTCCCGGTTTATAATTGCAGTCTAATAATGTGACTCTTGCATGATTTCAGTGTGTAAAAACAACCACCTCCACATTAATATATATAATGTTTGTTTTTCTTTGAGAAACAGTAACATACTCAAAAGAATTATAGTTTACCATGAGTACGTTGAAATCTCTTAGTGTTTACACCAAATACAGAATGGAATCATGCTAAACACACACACACAGAGCACATGTTTCAACGAATGGATTTTTAATTTATTGATTTCTGTGCACGCATACATTTATGCGCCGCGACACAAATAATCGGATTTCTGTGTGTGCGTGTGTGACAAACAATCGATTCATTAGTTATTTGGTGCATCAGAAGAATTCTACAGTCGATATAATATACACACACCATTGGCATGGAATCAGGCAGGGTCTTGCAACTTCTCTAAGTGAACTGACTATGAGATAGTGGAGAAAACTTGTAGCTCAGGTGGATGATTGTGGTGGTGGTGTTTCGTTCTCTGAGCTGGTTGTTTCGGTTGTGGAGCTTTCATTGTTCTTCTTATGAACAACATCATCAGCACAAACTTCAGATAGAAGAAGTGAAGCATTCGAATTTCTCCACGAAATGATTCGTAGCTTGTTCTGCTAACCCTCGATCTTGATTGGTTGCGGTGGACCTTAAATCTGTCCTTATTTGCTCCTTTGTTTTGATTCTGTACCCCCTTTTGATCTGATTCTTGATCCTGTGATTTTTCTGATTGGTTGATAAATTAAGTCAGTGTCGATGTGTTTGTTGATTGTTGATTGACTTGTGAGTGCCAAGCTTCTAAAAATTCTCTAGTGTTCTTTGTCCTCCCCCTCCTATCCAGTATTTCCACATTGTCTCAATCGAATGTATGTCCATAATTGCCGATGTGAATTGATGATATAAGCGAAGCGTTGTCGTGGCGTTTGACTGCCAATCGGCGGTGTTCACGTAAATGAACCTGAAGAGGTCGTCCACTTTGTCCTATGTAGTGTTTTTCACAGTTTGATCCATTGTTTATTTTGTAGATGATATTTGATTTTTCTTTCTTTGTCATTTTGTTCTTCGGTCTACATAGGATTGATTAAAGTAATTCTGTTGGTTTGTGTGCTACACCTATTCCAAATGGTTTCAGTAGTAGTGCTGTATGCTCCGATAGGTCTTTGATGTATGGTAGGATGATGCTTATTTGTTTCTGTGCTTGATTTCGCTTCTGATGATGGTTGCGGTTGATGTTTTTTGATGAAGTTGCGTGGATAGCCGTCTTTTTGGAAGATAGTCACAAGGTGTTTTCCTCGTTTTTTAATGTTTCGTATGTGCTGCAGTGTGTCTTCGCTCTCTTGAACAAAGTTTGTATGCAGTTGATCTCGTGGGTTCTTGGGTTGTTGCTGTCATAGTTGAGAATTACGTCTGTGTGGGTTGGCTTCCGAAATACATGAGTTTCTAGTTTTCTTGACTATATCTATCAACTGTATTTAAGCTTTAGACAGTTGCTTTTCGTTTTCTTGACGGCAGTAAGTATAACTAAGAAAATGGTGGCTATATATGTATAAATATGTATACGTGCCCATTTGAAAGCACTTGGAGAGGAAGCGAGCACCTACATATCTGCGCGACATGAAAATTTATTGAATTTGTATTTGAGTCGACCAACAGTTCGAACGTAGTATAAACTGAAGTAGGTGGTTTTGTTAGGAGGCCATTGTTGCCCTTGTTTTTGATCCGTAGGACAGTGGAACAATGTAAACAAATGCAGTCTTTTATGGTAGTGTTAGCATATTATCCATCAAATATCTTAATAGAACTATTTTTGGAAGTCTAATTCTATTGGTCGATCCCTATTGGTCAATTCCTATTGGTCGTCCTAATTATCAATGTCACACAGACTTCCATGTTGTTTCTTATTCGATCTAACTGTATAAAAATATTCATTATCTGTGAAGCTTCTCACTCTATTTATTCCTTCCTTTATATCTTCAATACTCGACCCCATACACAACTTCATCTAACGGTGTTGTGTTCTGATATATATATATTGGAGATTTGAGAACAGTAGTATTTGGAGGTCGTATTGGAGGAATAACTGAATTCGATCAACCGATAGGATTTCGAATAGCCATTAGAGCGTTATTAGAGCAGGTAACGAATGGGCAACAATAGGATCCTGTATAACTACTAGCCCTAGTTTTAAACTGGAGATTTGCTTTTATTAAAAACAACACTCTCAAACACGAAAAGGCAATGAGTACAATTTTTATGATAGTGGCCAAATACACAACATGACCATATAAGAGAATTTTGAGAGAACGAGAACGAGTGACAGTAGAGAGAGATAATGAATCCGTAGATCAATAAATAAAAATGTGACAATCAATGTTGGTACAGACATTTCATTGACTAAATTATCGAAAACAAAAAATAAAACGAAGAAAACCACATTAGTTAGACAAATCACGTCTCATGGTTTGATTATCATACTATTGAACAGATTATTAACAACTTTGTATTATAATGAACTTTATAAATAGTCCAGAAAATAGAAAAATATTGCAGGGTTAGCTGCAATAATACTTAGACACGTAACAAAAAATCTCGTGAAAAGCAAACTAGAGAAAACCAGACCAGTTTGAGAATTATCTGTAGCTGTTATAGACCGAATACTCACACTACGATTGGGTTCTGGAACACATACACACTTCCAGGCGTCTGACAACAGTTGTCTTCATGGAACTTAAAAACCTCTATTGATCATGAGGTTCAATGGCAGTGTCTGTCATTGAAAGGTGTACCATAGAAGTACATTAACCTTATACAAGCTCTCTAATCGAACACCACTGGTCGAGTGAAAGCTTATGGCGAACTGTCATCTGAATTCATCACTTCAATTGGTGTCCGTCAGGGATGTCCACTCTCCCCATTCTTGTTTAATTTTATCATTGACATGCTCCTAGAAATAACCTTATTCTCGTCTGAATTTTCAGGAGTAGACCTTTTACCAGGTAGCTCGCTTATTGACTTAGAATATGCCGATGACATAGTCCTACTTGGTTAAGACGCTGACAAAGTGCAGTCTTCTGACTAACCTAAGCAACAATGCATCATCATCTCATCAGCGCTGATAGCCTGGTAACAAACGAAATCTCATCGCGGATACAGAAAGCTCGATTGGCTTTTGCCAACCTAATCTTCTGAATTCCGCATAATCTCTATCTTTCTCCTTCGAACCTTATCTCACTGAATTATACTTCTTGAATAATATCTTCAAACCCTAGTCTTCTTCATTACTATTATCACCTCTATTATCTTTATCACTATGAGATTTGATTTCACATTTGCGTCTCTGTGCTAATGTGGTATGACAACCTTAGCTTATGTACATACGTACGAAGTTCTACGTTGCAAGTGACTGACTGACAATAATGAGTTACATGGTTTTCAATTGTGAAGATCCATTCTAGTTGACCAGTTTTCAACAAAACACAACAGTCAAAACTTACCTATGTATAATATGTAATACTTCACGTAAATAAACTAGGCCACGTATAACAGAATATAAAATTTTTGCAAGAATCGGCTCGGGTAATCGACCAGCATAGCTTAGTACAATATCTAAACTGCCACCATTCATATATTCCATGCATAAACTAATATCACCATCGGCAAAAAACGCCCCATAATAACCAACAATATATGGAGAATTACAATCATGTAATACCTGATCGATAAAAATCAAATTAAGAATGAAAAAAAAAAGACGAGTAGGTCATTTAGTCAAGAAATTGATTCAATCTGTCTTTGACGAATGAAAACTAAATAGACTTTGTCTTCTGTTCTTGCATTTACAATTAGGTAATCTGTCTCAAACAGTGAAGCCATGTGCCAGGAATCGGAAATCCCAATGACTGTAGAAGTATTAGTAGTAATGGAGAAGATTAGGGAGCGAAGATATGATTCGAGAAGTATAATTCAGTGAGATAAGTTTAGAAAGACAAAGGTAGAAGTGCTAACGAATCCAGAAGATTAGGATTTGAGAGATCTCAACGAATGGACGCACTTGCGCCATTGAAAATGATTTTGAGCCATTTCGTTCAAGGTCTCTAACCAATGGTGACTTTCGTCTCGCGGACCCCAACCTGGTAGTCTACATCTAGCAACATGACTCAGTCCGCTTGTCAGTGACTTCATGGATTTCTGCCATGTTTTGGTCCGGCCACCCTTAGCTCTCTCCCAACACATGTCCGAACCACCTCAACTGATGAAGTTTCACCACTTCATCTATTGATCTGCTATTCCTAACGACAGCACTGCGTACTCGGTTGTCCCACGATATACGAGCAATGCTTCTTAAACATCTATGATCGAATACTAGTAACCTACGAACATCTTCTACTCTTAACGGCCATGTTTCACAGCCATAAAGGAGAACGGAACGAACTGTTGCGCAGTACACCCGTGCTTTGGTTAGCGAACAGATATCACGCCTACGCCATAAGTGACGCAAGTTGGCAAAAGCCAATCGAGCTTTCTGTTTCCCTGCTGAGATTTCGTCAGTCACCAGGCTATCAGCGCTGATGAGACTCCCCAGATAAGTGAAGCGGTCTATACGCTCGACTACTTCACTCGCTATCACTAGTTTAGGTGCCGATAATGCAACCCAATCTTGAAGCAACATTTTGCATTTCAAGGAGGAAAACCGCATCCTGAACATGCTTGCATTGTTGCTTAGTGTAATCAGAAGACTACGCATTTTGTCAGCGTCTTCATCGAATAGAACTATGTCATCGGCGGATTCTAAATCAGTACGCTGATGACTCAGTTCACTGGTCAGTCAGTCAATGACTTCATGAATTTGTTTGTGCTATATTTTGATTGGGTTTGAGAATAAAAAAACCGTCTCCTCCCAAGTGCTACCAATGATCATCAGTTCACAATAATTTCAATATATATATACATACACAGAATTCATTATTCAACTTACTTGTAATTCACGTATAATTTGTGTTTTAACAATTGGTTTAATTTCTAAATGTATATTTTTTTTTGCCATAATTAAACCAGTTGTAATATGACGTACACGACTAACTACACCACCATTACCTTTGCCTAATTCATTCAGTTTTTCAAAGTCTTCCGGGTGTAATTCACCAATTTTTTGTTTATCTGCAACAAATGCACTTAAACGACGTCGTTGATTATCATCTAAATCTTGTATGGCTAGCTGTTTTAAACTTCATCCCAAGCCGAGGAAGAGAAAAGAAAAAATAATCAATCAATGGAAGAAGGAGAAGAGGCGTGTAAATTGATTGAATATTACGTAATCATTATATTATATATAGATATATATATATAACCATGCATAAAAGACATAGTGGAGCGAGCATACAGCACGACTACTGCAACCATTTGGAATAGGTGTGTGACACACACACAAACCAACAAAATCCCTAGATCAATCAGAGTTAGACATTAACACCGTTGGATATCAGCCGGCCCAGTGGTTCGATGGTAAGGCGTTCGCCTACAATGCCAAAGGTCCCGGGTTCGAATCCTGCAAGGAGCAGGAGTCGTGGATGCGCACTGCTGATGAGGAGTTCCATACTAGGACGAAACGGCCGTCTTTCAGTGCTTCCAGGTTTCTAATCAGGGTGGTCTAACAATGATGATTGATTAATGATTTCAAATGTGTAGAATCACTTCAATCAATCTTATGTAAACAGTAAAAGGATAAAATGACAAATGAAGAAAAAAAACCAAATATCATCAACAAAATAAACAACTGCGCTCAGACTGTGAAAAATACTACATAGAGGACAAAGTGGACGTCCTCTTCAGCTTCGTTTACGTGAACATCGCCGATTGGCAGTCAAACGCCACGAAAACGCTTCGCTTATATCATCAATTCACATCGGCAATTATGGACATACTACATTCGATTGAGACAATGTGGAAATACTGGATAGGAGGGGGAGGATAAAGAACACTAGAACACTCAAGTCAATCAGCAATCAACAAACACGTCGACACTGACTCAATTTATCAACCAATCAGAAAATTCACAGGATCAAGAATCAGATCAAAGTCAGTCAGTCAGTCAGATGCAACGTAGAACATCGTACGTAAGTACATCAGTTCATGTTGCCATACAACATCAGCACAGAGATGTAATTGTCCATTCAAATCCAATAGTAGAAGAGGTAGTAAAAGTATTAGAAGTAATCGGAGAGGTTAGGATTAGAAGATATTATTCAAGAAGTATGATTCAGTTGAAGAATCCAGATCAAAAGGGAGACAGAATTAAAACAAAAGAGCAAACAAGGACAGATTTAAGGTCAACAGCAAGCAACCAATCAAAATCGAGGGTTAGCAGAACAAGCTACGAGTCATTTCATGGAGAAATTCGAAAGATACTTCACTTCTCCACCTGAAGTTTGTGCTGATAATGATATAGTTCAGAAGAAGAACAATGAAAGCTTCAAAACCAAAACATCATCCAGCTCAGAGAACGAAACACCACCACCACCATAATCATTCACCTGAGCTATGCATTTTCTCCACCATTAAATGACAAATATGATTAACAAGACATGAATAATGTTTAGGAGTGGAAATGTATTAATAACTAGTTTGTATAACATGATGATAGCTTTTGAAGTGAACATCAACTTAAGGATGTTGATACACATATATGTATACGCAGCTGATGAGACTCAACTAAGACGAAACACGCGTCTTTGATTTTACTGTTAGTCGTTATATAACTCTGCTTATAATGTACATGTACGTACCAAAGTACATATATATATATATATATATATATATATATATATATATATATCGGATGAATAGAACAAACAAGAATTAGTATTCACATCCGAAAGAAGCTTAGACTAAAAGGACAGCAGATTGTCACTAGTGCAATAGCACATCATTTGCTTGACAATAGTTATGATGTTGATGTTTTAAACTCTTTTAAGTTAATTCATAAATAAAGAACATCGAATTTATTAGAAGTTTACTAAAGCGATTGCTGCCAATGATACGCTTTAGTTTGACTGTACCTAGAGCTTCCTCCCAGCCTACTTCTCAGTCAGTTAAATAAAACTTGGAACTTCGTACGTACCATACATCAGTTCAAGTGATCATAACATATTACCATAGAGAGAAGAAAATGTCAGCTCAAATCCTAGAATGGTGGAAGTATTAGCGATCGAGGATATGATAAGAGAAGCATAACCCAATGAAGTAAATTTAAAAATCGAAAAAAGGTCATACGGAATTCATAAGATTAGGATTACGGGCCACCAACCAGGTAATCTCTATACCTCCTTCTAACATGGCTAAATCCAAATGTTAATGACTTCATGGAATGATGTTATTATATTTTGGTCTGGCCGCCACTAGCTTTCTTCCTACACCACAAAATATCGGCTCATCGAGGCAGTCAGTCGTTGGGCATACGTAACACATGTCCCAGACATCGCAACTGATGGGGTTTTACTATTTCATCAATTGATCTGCTATCCCTACCTAGTACTGTTTCCTAAACACCAGCATCGCTAACTCAGTGGTCGTAGAATAGACGAACAATGCTTCGAAACTACTTACGATCAAGTATTCGTAACCTATGAATATCCTTGCTCCTTAGGTGGATATTATTCACACCCATATAGTAGGATAGAGCGAACTGCTGCGCGGTACACTTGTCTTTTGGTTAACAAACGGATATCTCGCCTATCCCATAAGTGACACAAGTTGGCACAAGCCAGTGGAGCCTTCAGTATCCTTGCCGAGATTACATTAGTCACCAGACCATCAGCACTGAAGCGGTCAGCACGCTCAACCGCTTCGATTCCTATCACTAGTTCAAATCCCGATACAAACCAATCCTAAAGCAAGATTTTGCATTTCGAGGGGGGCAGAACTACAACCATAGATTCCTCAAAAAATTGACAGCTAAAACAGTTTATCTGACCTAAAATATGTCTTTCTCTTTCAACAACACATTAAAAGCTGTATAGTAGTAGTAGTAGTAGTGTGGTGCGAGCTACTTATAAGTAGTATATGACGTGAGTGTCAACATGATGTCTGGCAGTAGAAGATGGGGGAAGATCAAGGAAGGAGGAAGAGTTAGAAAACAATGGAATTTGTATGAAACGCATGCGAATAGTGACAATGGATTGATGTTTTGCAACAGGAACAGTCCAGTTCTATAGGATGAATTGATCTTTTGCAAATGAACGATTTACGATATGGTTTTCCTAATTTACTGAGTAACTCTGTAATTTTCGATAAATACAATTCGGTTGCCCCACCTGTGTTCTCCTTCACCACAGTAGTAGTAGTACTAGAAGCATGACAATTAACACTATCTATATACTACATATTGTACACTTACACTTCAGCAACATCAACAGGTCCAGTGCTAATTCGATTGGAATAACGATTTTCATTATTATTTCGATCATTTTTTGAATGAAACAAATTATCACTTGACGGTGGTGTATGAATTTTTTTTGGTGATAAACGTAAATCTGTAAGTGGTGGTGGAATTTTACGATGTACTGATGAATGTGAATGTGAATGTGGATGATGAGCAGTGGTACTTGGTCGATACATACTACTACTACTATTACTAGTAGTAGTAGTAGTTGGTTGTTGTGATGTTTTTAATGATTCAGATGAATTTGTCAAATTGTTATTATCACCTTTATCATTATTATCATGATAGAATTGATTCAATGCTGGAAAAAGAAGTGCTCTTGTAGAAGTTCCAGTTTGTTTTATCGTGTCTTGTACACTATCATAAGATTTATTTAATTCGGTATTTTTAACCGATTCATGAGGCGGTTTATCAATGATAGAAGAACAATTATCCGATGATTGGATAGCAGAATTTGGAAGAGTTAGATTTAATCGATTACGTCGACTTCCACTTCCAGAAGATGTTGACATTGAATTGAATGGAATTTGATGTACTATAGAGTAAGAGGATGATGCATGAAGCAAGTAAATAAATATAAAAATTCTTCGTATAAGGATATGAAATAGGCAACAATTACAAATGTGACTGTCAGTCTTTTGAACCCGATAATAATGATAATAATTTCGTATTGTAGTATTATTTTTACGCCTGCATGTGAACACGTCAACTTGATATACTTGAACTATTACGAGTTTACCTAGTCGGAAAACGAGAGCGAGGTTCGAGGATCCGGTGACACGACATGCTACTCAAATCCGATTATACCAACCCCATATTGAGTAAAAGAAGTAGACTTTGTATGAAGTAGAAAATGTATTCTACAAGCATCCAGAAAGTACGAGGTCCGAATCCAGTAGAGAATCAGGATCTCGGACTAGGGATCCGGGACCGGGTCCTGGTCCTGGTCATAAAACCTTACACGTAATGCGTATTTATACATTTTGGTCAAATAGGAAACAGCATCGAAGTCTGTGACATTGACAGTTAAGACGACAATAGGAAGCAACATTCATAGTCATGACAACCAATAAGAAACAACATTGGAGCATGTGACATTGACATCTAGGACGACCATAAAATTGACCTGTAGGAATTAACCAAAGGGAATAGACCAATAATTCTCTTAGGATAGTGGATGAATATCCTAACAATTATGGAGATCGTTGTTTTTACACATTGAAATCAAGAATGGATCAGTAATTGTTAGACCTCCATTAGAAACAAACCTGGAAGCACTAACAAACGGTTGTTTCGTCCGTCCATGAATCCTGCTACTTACTGGATTCGAACCGAGGACCTTCAGTCTTACGCGCGAACGCTTAACTTCTGGACAATTATGCCAGTACACAACGGTGTTAATGTTTAACTCTGATCAATCAATTAACCCCATCCATTGTCTTTGGTAATTACTGCCTACACTCATATATAATAAACATTGTGTTAAGATAATAGCAATGTAAAAGAATGTACTTTTGTTCAGCATCCCCATTTATCTTAAGTGTATTTGTATTTCATTTCTATCCGACGAAAGATGTGAATGGATTGAATGGTTTGTATTTTTTACAATAATAATAATAATAATAATAATAATAATAATTTTTATAGTCTTACTAGGTCAAATGTAAAGTAGAATCTAGTACATATGTCTATCAATTCAATTTTTCTGGTCCAATTCACACAATGAGATGAAATGATCATGGCAAATCATGGATTAATAAAGATAGAAGAAAGGATTAGACAAGAAAATTATGAGGGCTTTGGAAGCTTAAGAATTTCGGGGAAGAGAAAGAATGAATGTGCCTGAACCATTAATAAACGATGTTGAGTCATGGTAATCAGAGTCTTTCTCAGTTGTTAGCAACAGCTAAAATGTCTATCCACAATTGTACTTATAATGGCATCAAGAGATTCATCAGTCAGTCAGCTACAACGTAGAACTTCGTTTGTATGTACATCAGTTCAAGCTGGCATACCATATTAGCAAAGAAAGAATGAATTGGCAATTTAACTCTTATAGGTTGAAGTAGTAGTATAGGGTGTGATCACAAAGATTGGGGATTGAAGATGTCGTTAGAAAAGTATATCCCAGTGAAATAAATTTAAAAAGAGAAAAATAAAAGTGATGAGGAAGTTAGAAGATTAGAACATGGGAGAAGAAAAAGAATGGATGGGTTTGTGCCATTACAAAACATTATGAGCCATGTTATTCACAGTCTCTAACCATCAGTTACCATCATCTTGCAGACACCAATCAGCTAACAACATGGATCAGTCCGATTGTCAGTGACTTCATGCATTTCTGCCATTTTTTGGTCCAGGTGCCCCTAGCTTTCTTCCACCTTACTTTTACACCAAAAAGCACCACTCGTTGAAGCAGTCGGTGGTTGGGCATACACAACACATGTCCCAACCGCCTCAACTGATGAAGATTCGCTACTTCATCTATTGATCTGCCATTCTTACCTAGCACCCGTCTCCTAATAACAGCGTTGCTCACTCGGGTGTCCCACGATATACGAGCAATGCTTCGAAGACACCTATTGTCGAAAACCAATAACCTACGAATATCCTTAACTCTTATTGGTCATATTTTGCAACCATAAAGTAGGACCGAGAGAAATGCTGCGCAGTACACTTGTCCTTTGGTTAGCAAACGGATATCTCGCTTACGCCATAAGTGACGCAAGTTGGAAAAAACCAATTGAGACTTTTTTTTATTCATGCTGAAATTTCATTAGTCACCAAGCCATCAGCACTAATGAAACTCCCAAGATAAGTGAAGGGGTTGACATGCTCAACTGCTTCACTCCCTATCACTAGTTCAGGTGCCAACGTAAGCCAACCTGGAAGCAACATTTTGCATTTCGAGGGTGAGAACCGTATCCCGAAAACGCTTGCATTGTTGCTTAGGGTAGTCAAAAGACTATGCATTTTGTCAGTGTCTTTACCAAGTAGAACTATATCATCGGCATACTCTATATCAAAAAACGAGTCTTCTGGTAGAAAATCCACCCCTGAAACGTCAGACGATGACAGTGTCGCATCTAAAAGCATGTCAACCACAAATTTAGACAAAAATAGTGAAAGTGGACATCCCTGACGGACACTACTTGAAGCAATCAATTCTGAAGACAGTTCGCCATAAGCTCACACTCGACTGGTAGGGTTTCAACAGAGAGCCTGCATAATGTTAACGTACTTCTCTGATATACCTTTCAATAACAGCCTCTGCCACAGAACCTCACAATCGACCGAGTCAAATGTCGCTTTAAGGTCAAGGAAGACAACGATTGTAAAACGCAGAAATGTATGTCTGAGTTCTAGGACCTGTCGAAGTGTGAATATCTGGTCTAGACAGACACGTCCAGATCTGAAACCAGCTCGGTATCTCCAGTTCGCTCTTTCCGAGCTCCAGTTGGGCTAACAATTAACACACTATATTTGTTAAACTGATTTCTTTGTGATTGTCACAAGAAGACTTTTGTCCTTTCTTATAAATTGGGACTATCTGAGATTCAGACCACTCAGATGGGATTACGTCCAGTTCTCAAATCCTACCTAAGATCCCAGTCAATCTAACTGCTAAGACAGGAACATCGTCCTTAAATATCTCAGGGGTAAATCTATCAGGACCCGCTGCTTTCCTTCGTCTTAGATTTTCTAAAGCTTTCTCAACTTCATAAAGACTAGGAGGACTTACAACGATTTGCCATTCAGGTCGACTGGAGATCGTGGGCAACCGATTTGTGGCTGAAGGCCAGTTTAATTGATTTCTGAAGCCATCTGCCCATTGATCCAATCTCCTGGATTGAGAACAAATAATAAGCCCGTGCTTTTCCGAGATAGTCTCACTTGCAGTCGGATTCCTGGTACCAGTTTCCTTAATAAATCTAAACAAATGTCTATTTCTAACTATCATCGTGGATTTTTCCATCACTCTTGCTTTCACTAGTTGAAGCAGAAGGTCGCCATTATTTGATTTTTGAGCAAAAACACCATAAGATCCACACAGCTGTCTTTCCTTTTCACCTAGTCTACCTATGCGAGCATTGAAGTCACCAGACATTATTACCATATCAGAGCACCTAAATTTGTGAAGGTTGGAGGGGTTTCTGTAAAACTCATATTTTACCTTATTTGGGCTGCAGTCAGTGGGAGCGTAGGCAGAGGCGACAAAGACCCGACGTCGAGTTTCCCTATGTTTACGAGCTCTTGCTGTCCCGTTTAGTCGGACAGAATATAAGCGACTGTCTACCAGGACCCAGTCTAAGAGAGCTAGTTGTCGTACGACTTAATACTGCACCTAAACCAGCAAGGCCACGGGAAGCAGCAGCACGATCTTGTATGCGCGTTTCGAAGACGCGGCATATATTGAAGGCGTAAGATTCCAGAGTCCTAGCTAAGGAAGCTTGTTGCACTATTTGACACATGGTTCGAGCACTTAAAGCTTTAATATGTAGTTGAGAGCGAAATTTCAGGAGACCAGGAATATTGTTTCCTGTAGTCGAACCGTTTACATAAGCAGTGCAGGATGATAGTGAATGTGAGAAGGGTTAGCCGTGAAGATAAGAGAGATGTTTTGGGGTGTAGGAAGTATGTGATTGTGACCAGTTTTGTCTCGTGTGCTGTTGCGGGTACAATAATCTTCCTCTTCTTAAATTTAATTCACTAGATTATACTCCTAAGATAACATCTTCAAACCCTAATATTTCCGGTTATTGCTCATATTTCTACTACCTCTACAACTATGGGATTTAAAATGACAATTGCGTCTATGTGCTAATGTGGTATAGCAACTTGAATTGATGTACGTAAGTGCGAAGTTCTACGTTGTAACTGACTGACTTGTTCGTGTGCACAATAAATATACAATACGAATTCAATGATATGTTTTGTCACCAAATCGGTGGAGCCACCATGCGCAGCCCTTCGGGCCTAATGCTGGATGACATATCTATATGGATCCTAGAACAGACGGAGTTTAGGCACGCAATTAAAGAAACTACACAATAATGCAGATATGTTTATGACATATCTCTCGTTAGCATTAAGCAAAAAGTCTATTAAACAAAGCACAAAATTATATAGATTTTACTATGGAACATGAAGTAGCAGATGAATTCCATTTCTTAGAAGTTGGAATCAAATGAGAGTCAGATGAAAAACTACAATGACATTTCCATCTCAGCATCACATGGAATAAAGTTTAGTTAAACTACAACAGCTTTTGTTCAATTAGTTACAAAAGGATTGTACGAACCCTTTCTGATCGAACTCGTAAACTTTGTTCTCAGGTAAGCCTAGGTGGACTTGCTTTTAACGTGAAAATACATACGCGCCGAAATTTATCGAGAAGTATGCCGAACTTAACTCACGTGCCAAATATGAGAGTGGGAAAGAAAACCAGTTTCTCTTATTTATCTCTCAATGGAGACAGCGTTACCGGAACTATTAGTAACAAGATAAATGCCGTGTAGAAGATTGCTTATCCAGCAGCAAGACTTCTGATATTATGTGACACGAATCGCCAACTTGAGCAAATAAAAATTCACAAGTCCTCTTTTCTCAGTACCCCCAACTGCATCTACCAATTCGCATGTACATTTCAAAGTACATGCATTGGTTGATCACAGAGAAGAGTATATGTTCGCATATCAGATTTTATTCCCAAGAATTTAAGACTGAAAAGTGCAAAGACCCGAAATAGTGGAATATTTTTTTATTATACTTGTTACCACTAATGGAGCATAGGCCAACCACCAGCAAATTACTTTTATGGTAAGCGTTTTGTTTGGGCGAGCTAGATTTCTAAGGGATGGAGTCACCAACCCCATACCTAAACCTCCTCCTTTGTCTGAATTTGAGATCGGCAGTGACCCTAGAAGGGCTTCAGGCTGTGTTAAATTGTGCAACAGCCTGATATTTAATTGATACCGGACATATCATGGTTATTTTCCAATGCTCCAGAATGATCAACAGAAAAAAACGTAGCGTTTGTTCGGGTTGCCGACGTAGTAGCAATTAAAAAACTTAAACCTCATTTGTGTGTCCAAAAAGGTACAATGATCGACAATCTAGGTAATTTTTTTATTTGTTACTGCCACTAATATCGCTTTTTTATTTGACTTCACCTAACTATATATTATTTCATGTGCACTAAAATCCCGTTTTTATTCATTCGCTTCTCAAAGCTTGAGCAAACCATTTCAAATCCTACTAACTTATAAAGTAACCATTCAATTGCTGATTCTAGACTACTGATCGAAAATTTCGATAACAACATACACAATGGTGATATTACTATAAACGAGTGATACTTTATGAATTAAGCATAGCATAAACATAAAATTAATTCATGTAAAACTTTATGTAACAGCTCATATAACTCATAGTAGGGACTTACACTCAATAATGCAAATGCATAACCAGTCAGAAACGTTGACGACCTTGAAACAAATGTAGCGCCTATGTAGAAATGGTCACAAATGATTTAGTAAGATAAAAATGAAGGCCTATCATACGAAAATTTATCACAGGGTGATTTAAGGACTATGACCACTCGCGGTCCTAGGTCATTGTATATCTGGATGGTTTAATGAGGTTCACCGTGTAACACCGGTACTTTGGCGGACAATATAGATCATCATGTACTTGGAAAATTTATCGACAACTAGTGAATTCTAAACCATCTGAGTAACTCCCATTGGTAACTTTGAAGTTGCGGACTACCACTTTCCTTTTTTTCGCATTCCAAAACTTTATATTTTCGGCAAATAAAGTAACCGATGAAGATAAGATTCTAGTCAATTCATTTAGATAGAAAAGGAGTAAAACTTCTCCGAAAACGATACTTGAAGCACATAGTTAGAAAACTTGTAGTTAACCCATACTCAATGTTGGCGTCCGACTCAGAAATCCCTAATCCAACCCAGTTAGCTGTTACAAATTCCAATATCACTTAGTTTATATAGTAGCCGTTTGTGATGCACTTTGTTAAAAACTTTCTAAAGTCAATGAAGGCTACATCTATGCGTAGCTTTCGATCTTGAAGAGAATAACATCTTCCAGAGGTGAGTATACTGTTCGTAAGCCATACTGCCCTTCACAAACTATTGTTTTTTCTTCTAAATGCTTATAGAGTACCTTCTGAATGATATTTTGTAAACTTTTCACGGCGACGCCAGTTCACCTTATGAGACAACAGTCCTCAAGGTTTGCGTAACGTAATTTTTTAAAGATAGAACTTCTAGTTATTTGGTAATGTACCTTGCATCACGGATAGATCAAGATATGCCCTTGAAGAATTTTCGGTGAGACTTGCTAGTTTCTTCAGTACTTTACGGTGCACTTATTCTATCCTCATGGAGTTATTTAAATCTTGCTTATTTAAATGATCAAATCCATTGGGTTCCTGAATGGTTATAATGCACAGAGTGTGGTTGGGTTCGTATGGTTTGAAGCGTAAGACATCTCTGTGTTGTGTTCATTACAAATGTAGTTTGAAGATAATAATGACGATAATTTATTCTTAAATAACATCTTACAAGTGGTATACCAATTTACAGGCAGAATCAAAATGCTGAAATCGCCAACGTTTTTTCTGTAAAAGGTTTTTCAGCCACATGTATGCTGCACAAGCTACACCAACGACCTACAGAAAACTAAGTGTTTCACATAAAATTGTAGATGTTTCAGGTTCTGCAATGATCAATAGGGTAGTTGGCGCGAGTTGCGACGAACCAATGCATGGTAAATCTGGGTCTGCATAAAACAAGAATTGATGAGAGACATGTGCAAAGATCTTGTTAAGATTAGCCAGATAACAAATTGTAGTGTGTCAATTTACTGCGTGTTCTTAAGCTCAGTTTATAAATCAGAAGATGAACTCGTATTGATGAATACGTTTATTCGGGACACACCACAAAGCGAGGGGGAATTGGAGAAGGCTAAGAGCCAACTCCTTGAGATAGAACATGACTAAGAATATATAGTCAGATAAAAATAAGACAGACAAGCGAAATAGGTGTGCACACACATGAATAAAAGCGACGAATGATTGACAAGGTCAAAAGCAAGTGATACAAATCATGTGAGTTCGTGGGGAAATTAAGAGATTAACATTAAGGCAAAAAGGATGAGTAAGCGCGTAGGCGTAAACAATGCTCAGTCGTACAAGCTCATACAAGCCAGACAGTAAAAAATACCAATGGTACATATGAGTTGTTGCTATACAAATGGCTTGGTTAGATAAATTAATCGAAAGGGCTTAACCAAGTTAGATGTAAGCGAACTGGAATATATGCGGAGGCACTACAAAATTTATAGACTCCTGGGTAAAGTAACCAAGGCTCCGGGAACTATTCAGGCTAATATTTAGGAAGTATGATGGGTTGCTCAAAAACAGAAAGAAAGACGTGTCGAGGAGGAGAACAGAAAATATTCCCCTTGAATGCCGAGTTATGACTAAACAGATAATATTTTTTTGTACAACAACAACAGCTCAACAGGAGTTTCGGAAAAACGGGTCTTGTATATGGGACAGTTGGACGTCCAGCTGGGAATGAAAAACAGCGATTCACATAATCTTTCTCGATTACGAAAAGGCCTGCAACACAGCACTCCACGCACTTCTAATCACACAGGTTGCGAAAATAGGCTTCACCGACCAACTCCTATCTTGGCTCAGAAACTACCTTGAGAATAGAACGTTTTGCACAAAGGCAAATAGAGTGCACATGAGTTGCCAAACCTCAAAATCGGGAGTTTCACAGAGGACTATCTTAGATCCACTTCTCTTGCTGATATTCCTCAATTATCTGTTAGACGAAGTAAACTCTGTGGCATTCATCTACGCAGAAAATGTAAAGGTTTGCATGTCCATTAAAAAAGAAGAGGATTAAACTGAGTTTTAAAAGGGACGGGCAGTGAAAAACGGTTTAAAACTAAGCTGGTTGAAATGTCATGTAATGAACATTCTGCCCACCGTGAAAGAAGCAACTAACACCACCAATGTAAGTTTGCTCCCTTTCATCTCCTCAAAGCACGATCTCGGTCTATCAACCGCTGAAAGCCTAGACAGTCAAGGCTAACGCAGCTCTTCACTTTATGTGAAGAAAACTTGGCGCTATCGTCTCAGAATTATTCTTAATCTTGCTTAAGACATACCCATGCCCACACCTTGAATTTCACAACATCGCCGCACCCCATCACCTTAAACGAGACATAAATCTATTAGACAGAATGTACAGACGAGCAACTAGGTGGATGATTGGGTTGAATAATAAACCTTACAAAGATAGACTCCAGCACTTGGAACTATTTTCTTTGAGTTATTGAAGAATCAGAGACGGTCTGATAATGGAGTATAGCATACTAAGCGAGCCAAATTAACCCAACATGAGCAACTAACCAAAGCCTAACCAGCACGCCCCTCAAGAAACTCCTCGGAAAATTGCGCATCAAATAGCGAACACTCAGGTTCGTGAACACGTTATTATTATTTAATCATTTATTTGTCCTCAAAGTATAGCATGTTGCAAGAGGCATGCCAGTTTACAACTAAGATCAAATTATTACAAATGCTACTACTTTTTGAGATGGTGGAAAAACTTTGTAGCTCAGGTAGATGATTGTGGTGGTGGTGTTTCGTTCTCTGAGTTGGATGTTTTGGTTGTGGAGATTCCATTGTTGTTCTACTGAACAACATCATCAGCACAAACGTCAGATAGCAGAAGTGAAGTAAGTATTCGAATTTCTCCACGTTTGACCTGTAGCTTGTTCTGATAACCTCGATCTTGGTTGGTTGCTGTAGACCTTATATCTGTCGTTGTTTGCACACTCATTTTGATTGTGTCCCCCTTTAGATCTGCTTTATTGTTTCTATGTTTGTGGTCTGCGATTTTTCTGGTCGGTTGATAAATTTGGTCAATATGTTGATGTATTTTATTGCTTGCTGACTGAAGTAATTGTCAAGCCTCTAAAATTCTCTAGTGTTCTTTGTGCTCCCTCTATCCAGTTTTTCCACATTCCAATTGAATGTACATCCATAATTGTCTGTATGTATTGACGTAAACGTAGAATTTTCGTAGCGTTTTTGACTGCCGATTGGTGCTCACGTAAACGAAGTTGAAGAGGCCGTCAACTTTGTCCAATGTATTGTTTTTCACAGTCTGAGCAATCGTTTATTTTGTAGATGATATTCGGGTTTTCTTCCTTTGTCATTTTGTCTTTCAATCTACATAGGATTGATTGCAGTGATTCTGTTGGTTCGTGTGCCATGTAGTGGTAGAATTTTCTCCTTATTATTCTCCACATTGCAACTAACTGACCTCTAGTCTCTTAATGTGATAGCTTCTGGTACTCGAAAACCCAACTGCTCTGAAACCAACGTTTTTATCCAAATCACGGAACATACAAACTCACAACCAACTACCAACCGACTAGAATTAATCATTCGAGTGGCTAGATACCCATTTACTGGACACTACCAAACACCTGGAACCGTACCGAAAGAACAAGAATTGAGCGAAAAGAAATCAATTAGTTTATACTAGCTCGTAAAGAAATATTGAATATTGGATCATTAGAGCGGAGCTTTAAAAACCACGGTTTGTCATGAAATTCAATACAATTAAACCAACAGTTTCATCTCATTTTATCATTATTCATTAAAAAAGACATGTTGAAAAACTTCATAAGTTAACTATAACTACTCAGAAAAGTAACTAACATACTTAGCCAACGCGAATGAACACTTAATAATCCTATCTTTATTTCATCGTAACACGTAGAAGAATGGGATATGATGGAAGGATTGATAAAACCATTTTTAATTTCGTTGTAATGCGTTCAATATCTAGACATGATAAACGTTAACCCTCCATATTGAAGACTTACTTCAGCCAGAAAACAGGAATACAGACAGACAGACAGATACAACGCAGAACTACGAACATAAGTACATCAGTTCAGGTTGCCATACCACGTCAGCACTGAGACGTAGCTATCAGTTCAAATCCAATAGTGGTAGCGATAGTAGAATTATTAGCAGCAATCGAGAAGATTAGAGAGCGAAGATATGATTCTAGAAGTGTAATTCAGTGAGATAACTTTAGAAGGAGAAAGATAGAGATTATGAGGAATTCAGAAGGTTAGAAATAAAAATCACACAAAGAGTGGATGCACCTGCTCCATTGCAAACGATTTTCAGCCATGTCGTTCAACGTATCTAACCATTGGTGACTATCGTCTCGCGGACAGCAACCAGATATCCTACATTTACCAACATGACTCAATCCACTTGTCAGTGACTTCATGGATTTGTGCCCTATTTTTTTCTGGCCGCCCCTAACTTTCTTCCAACCTACTCCTACACCACAAAACATAGCTGGTCGAGGCAGTCGATGGTTAGGCATACGTAACACATGTCCCAACCACCTCAACTGATGAAGTTTCAATACTTCATTTATTGATCTGCCATCCTTACCTAGAACTCGTTTCCTAACGATAGCAAGAATAAAACAGAAATTCTATTTGGCTAACGAATCCATCTACTGACCAATGATATACATTCATCCTATAAAATATTTTTGATGATTATTGAATCGACAGCATACATATTCAAGAAAGCGCCTAACTGCGTCACAAGACAAGCCCTCATTTGAAATCCTAAGGGCCAAATGAAATGAGGAAGATCATGCAACACATGACGCGCTAAGAAATGGAGACAGACATGAGCAGAATGAACAGGAATTGAACAGAGTGATTTGGAGAATACTGATCAGTGGCCTATGCTCCATCGGAGGTAACAGACGTAAGTAAGTATATCAAATAGCTTCTCAATTTAAACAATGCTGGCATGATTTGCTTTACATATCAAGTTATGTGTAACGAGTACATTTTTTGTTTTTTTTCTACAAATCATTTTCAAATACATTGAATAAATTCATATACACACACAAAAAAAATAATAAATACACTCAAAAATCAATAAATTTACAAATTTTCTCGATTTTATTGATTTTAGATCGTTGACAAATTGTTTTCACAATATTTTATTAAGTCATTTAAAAATAACTTTTATATACACATAACTCATAATGAATTTTTATAAATCGACATTTTTCTTCATTTGATAATTAATTTCAAAATAAGACAGTAATAATAATAATAATAATAATAATTCAGTGAATGGTTTATTTAAACACACACATACAAGCTGTGTTATTTATTTACTGATTTATACTGTTCAAGTAATAATCGATCAATGTTAGAGAACCACCATTTGAAAACCTGGAAGCACTCAAAATGCAACTGTTTCCTCCTGATATTGTGACTACCCAGCAGGTGGGAGTGTACATCCATGACTCCTGCCAACCGCAAGATTTGAACCTCCAGATCACCTGAACCAGCATCTAACCGTGTTCATATCAATCTATAGTCTTGAGCAACTTCATTGTCTAACGCTGATCGATTCATGATTTTAGCAAACTGTACTTAAACAGTTTGCACAAACACATCACCAATAAATTAATCAATGACTTATTGATTTTTAATTTTATTTTTAGAAAAAGAAAGACAAACACTAGTAGGAGATAAATATCAGGCGAGAGAACCATTTAAACTGTATCCATTGGTCATGATTATGTTAGGATATTCATCCAATATCCTAAGAGAATTATTGGTCAATTCCTATTGGTCAACTCCAGCTGATCAACTTTATGGTCGTCCTAGATATCAATGTCACGTGCTCGAATGTTGTTTCTTATTGGTTGTCCTGACTGACTAAAATGTCACTTCAAATGTTGCTTCCTATTTGTTGTCTCAACTGTCAATGTCATAGACTTCGATGCTGTTTCCTATTCGACTAAAATGTATAAATACGCATTATGTGTATCGCTTTATGACCAGGACCCGGTCCCGGATACCTAGTCCGGAATCCTGATTCTCTTCTGGATTCGTACCTCGTACATTCTGAATGCTTGTAGAATACAGGTTCTACTTCACATTCAAGTCTTCTTATTTTTACTCAAAATGGGGGTTGGGATTTGAGTAGCATGTTGTATCATCGGATCCTCGATCCTCGCTTTCGTTTTCCGACTAGGTAAACTCGTAATAGTTCAAGTATATCAAGTTGACGTGCTTACGTGCAGGCGTAGCAGATTACAAAGGAGATAGAGAGAGAGAGACAGAGATAGCAAACGAGATAATTTATTCCTATCAATTAATTGCTTCAATGTGTCAAAGCAATAAAACGAAACTATCATTGTTGTTGTTGTTGTTTTAGCTCTTTTCTTTTCTTTCACTGTGTTGTTTTAATCAATTGCATGTTGGATACACCGCCTAATTTAAATTGATCATAATAAATCAATCAGAGTAGGAGAAAGTGAAACAATAATTATGACAAACACAATTCAGCAGTGTATCATTTAAGCATTTCTTAATTGAAACAAAGAATTCACTCTTATCAAATGGTTTAATCAATACAATGCATGTATCAAAGGCAAAAAAATGATGATAATTTTTCTGTATATACATTCATGTTATGTTATGTTAAAGTACTGATAGAAATAAAGAAAGTACTACTTCTATTAGGTTAGGGTTAGGTTATGCATTCTTAAATATCTTGAATGAAACTATGTAAAATACAATAAGCAATGAATGACTGAATGAATGAAAGTTAACTACGCATACAATTATTAATAATAATAATTATTATTATTATTATAATAACAATAATAGAAAATAAAGATCAAATCTACCGCGCATGGATTCATATTTTTTCTGATGACAAATGAATGGTGGCTAATTTGGGGAATCTAGGGTGCATGTTTCATGTCAACTTGAAAGTTAAGTCACCTTGTAAGATGTTGTTGATACATCTAGTTGAGGATGTAATGTTGTGCATTGTGGATTTCAACGCCAACCAGTATCTATCTCTGCCGTCCAGTGCTTCCAGGTTTCTAATGGTAGTCTAACATTGATCGGTTCATGGTTTCAAAAAATGTGTAACTTAACAATCTTCACAAGCCCGTAATGCAAATAACCTGTGCTCACTAGTGACTAGCTTCGTGAGGAATCTTCTCCGAGTTGTAATGGGAAGACGTGACCAGTGAAGTTCAACCTGTTCGGGTGTAGTCAGTAACTACCGAAGACAGTGTATGAGGTTGCGCAACTCCATGAATTTGATCAAGTTAGACATTAACACCGTTAGATACCGGCTCAGTGGTCTAACGGTTAGGGCGTTCGCGCACAGTTCCGAAGGTCCTGGGTTCGAATCCTGGGGGGCGCAGGAGTCGTGGATGCGCACTGCTGATGAGTCCCATACCAGGACGGAACGGCCGTCCAGTGCTTCCAGATTTCTAATGGTGGTCTAACATTGATCGATTCATGGTTTCAAAAAATGTGTAATGATAATAATACTTGTGATCGCATAGAAATATATAACGAGATAATCTGTAGAGAGTATACAAATGCTAAATGAAACAGTTTAATTGCAATCCTATTGGGCAGGTGCATCCAAATCCTAATCTTCTGAATTCCTCGTCATCTTTATCGTTCTCGCTGTAAATTTATGTCAGTGGATTAAACTTCTTGAATAATAATATATTTGAATGACTAATCTTTCCGATTACATCTAATACTGCCATCACCTTTACTAGTATGAGATTTGAATTGACTATTCGATCTCTCTGTATGGCAGCGTGAGCTGATGTACGTATGCATGAAGTTCTAGGTTGTAACTGACTGACTGACTGAATGACTGACTAAATTGCAGCCCTAAGTATTCTGATACATTGTTTAATAATAAAATATTTCACAGTTACCTCATTTTTTTCCAAACTACTCTATTTATCAATGCTCTTTCTTTTTTGAATATGATATGAAGAATCAAAATTTCAAATCTTATTGAATGCTCATTAATACCGTAGACTAATTTATTTTAAATTGTGATATTGTGAAGAATGTTGAGTTACTATTTTTTGAAATGATCAAGTGATCAATGTTAGACTACCATTGGAAAGACGGCCACGATTCATTCTATTTATGGGACTACTTATTATTTGCAGTGCGCATCCACCACTCCAGCCACTCACAGGATTCGAACTCAGGAACTTCGGTCTTACGAACGAACGCCTAACCTCTCTTAAACCATATTATTTTAGCAAATCAGTAAAAATGCTGACTTTCAGATTACGATTCACTTCACAAACTTGAGTGATGCTAGATGTTATAGGGTATAAATGTATCTGACTATTAGAATAACACATAGATCTAAGTGAACAAGATTTATTGTTTTCAATTGGATTGTAATCAAGATTGATTCTCGAACATCCAAGAATATTATTTTATATGACAAACATGGAAACCAATTCTATGCAGACCAAAAAGCAAAATGACAAAGGAAGAAAAACCAAATATCATCTACCAAACAAACAATTGCTCAGATTGTGAAAAACACTGCATAGAACAAAGTGTACGGCGTCTTCAACTCCGTTTACGTGAACATCAATTAGCAGTCAAATTCCACGACAACGCTTCTCTTACATCAATACATACAGACAATTATGGACATACATTCGGTTGGGACACTGTAGAAATACTGGGTAGGGGGAGGACAAAGAACACTAGAGAATTTTTAGAAGATTGGCACTCAGCGTCAACCAGCAATCAACAAACACATCGACACTGAATCAATTTATCAACCAATCAGAAAAATCATTGGCGACATAAGATCAAGAAACAGAGCAAAGGGGAATACAGCCAAAATGAAGGTGCAAACAATGACAGATTTAAAGCCAACAATCACATTAAAAATGTTTCATATTTTAATCTAACTGTATATATTAAGAACTGATTTGATTTTGAAATTAGTATCACTGCAGATTCGCTTACTAAGTCTTTACTTATGCTAACATTTTTTATAATTTTTAAGTGTCTCTTCTATGCATATGTTACTTTATATCGTACTGATTAAATACCGAAACATCCCCCTTTAGATCTGCTTTATTGTTTCTATGTTTGTGGTCTGCGATTTTTCTGGTCGGTTGATAAATTTGGTCAAAATGTTGATGTATTTTATTGCTTGCTGACTGAAGTAATTGTCAAGCCTCTAAAAATTCTCTAGTGTTCTTTGTGCTCCCTCTATCCAGTTTTTCCACATTGCTCCAATTGAATGTACATCCATAATTGTCTGTATGTATTGACGTAAACGAAGAATTTTCGTGGCGTTTTTGACTGCCAATTGGTGCTCACGTAAACGAAGTTGAAGAGGCCGTCAACTTTGTCCTATGTATTGTTTTTCACAGTCTGAACAATCGTTTATTTTGTATATGATATTCGGTTTTTCTTCCTTTGTCATTTTGTCTTTCACTCTACATAGGAAGGATTGAAGTGATTCTGTTGGTTCGTGTGCCATGTAGTAGTAGAATTTTCTCCTTATTATTCTCCACATTGCAACTAACTGACCTCTAGTCTCTTAATGTGATAGCTTCTGGTACTCGAAAACCCAACTGCTCTGAAACCAACGTTTTTATCCAAATCACGGAACATACAAACTCACAACCAACTACCAACCGACTAGAATTAATCAGTCGAGTGGCTAGATACCCATTTACTGGACACTACCAAACACCTGGAACCGTACCGAAAGAACAAGAATTGAGCGAAAAGAAATCAATTAGTTTATACTAGCTTGTAAAGAAATATTGAATATTGGATCATTAGAGCGGAGTTTTAAAAACCACGGTTTGTCATGAAATTCAATGCACTTAAACCAACAGTTTCATCTCATTTTATCATTATTCATTAAAAAAGACATGTTGAAAAACTTCATAAGTTAACTATAACTACTCAGAAAAGTAACTAACATACTTAGCCAACGCGAATGAACACTTAATAATCCTATCTTTATTTCATCGTAACACGTAGAAGAATGGGATATGATGGAAGGATTGATAAAACCATTTTTAATTTCGTTGTAATGCGTTCCATATCTAGACATGATAAACGTTAACCCTCCATATTGAAGACTTACTTCAGCCAGAAAACAGGAATACAGACAGACAGACAGATAAAACGCAGAACTACGAACATAAGTACATCAGTTCAGGTTGCCATACCACGTCAGCACTGAGACGTAGCTATCAGTTCAAATCCAATAGTGGTAGCGATAGTAGAATTATTAGCAGCAATCGAGAAGATTAGAGAGCGAAGATATGATTCTAGAAGTGTAATTCAGTGAGATAACTTTAGAAGGAGAAAGATAGAGATTATGAGGAATTCAGAAGGTTAGAAATAAAAATCACACAAAGAGTGGATGCACCTGCTCCATTGCAAACGATTTTCAGCCATGTCGTTCAACGTATCTAACCATTGGTGACTATCGTCTCGCGGACAGCAACCAGATATCCTACATTTACCAACATGACTCAATCCACTTGTCAGTGACTTCATGGATTTGTGCCCTATTTTTTTCTGGCCGCCCCTAACTTTCTTCCAACCTACTCCTACACCACAAAACATAGCTGGTCGAGGCAGTCGATGGTTAGGCATACGTAACACATGTCCCAACCACCTCAACTGATGAAGTTTCAATACTTCATTTATTGATCTGCCATCCTTACCTAGAACTCGTTTCCTAACGATAGCAAGAATAAAACAGAAATTCTATTTGGCTAACGAATCCATCTACTGACCAATGATATACATTCATCCTATAAAATATTTTTGATGATTATTGAATCGACAGCATACATATTCAAGAAAGCGCCTAACTGCGTCACAAGACAAGCCCTCATTTGAAATCCTAAGGGCCAAATGAAATGAGGAAGATCATGCAACACATGACGCGCTAAGAAATGGAGACAGACATGAGCAGAATGAACAGGAATTGAACAGAGTGATTTGGAGAATACTGATCAGTGGCCTATGCTCCATCGGAGGTAACAGACGTAAGTAAGTATATCAAATAGCTTCTCAATTTAAACAATGCTGGCATGATTTGCTTTACATATCAAGTTATGTGTAACGAGTACATTTTTTGTTTTTTTTCTACAAATCATTTTCAAATACATTGAATAAATTCATATACACACACAAAAAAAATAATAAATACACTCAAAAATCAATAAATTTACAAATTTTCTCGATTTTATTGATTTTAGATCGTTGACAAATTGTTTTCACAATATTTTATTAAGTCATTTAAAAATAACTTTTATATACACATAACTCATAATGAATTTTTATAAATCGACATTTTTCTTCATTTGATAATTAATTTCAAAATAAGACAGTAATAATAATAATAATAATAATAATTCAGTGAATGGTTTATTTAAAACACACACATACAAGCTGTGTTATTTATTTCTTTGTTTATACTGTTCAAGTAATAATCGATCAATGTTAGAGAACCACCATTTGAAAACCTGGAAGCACTCAAAATGCAACTGTTTCCTCCTGATATTGTGACTACCCAGCAGGTGGGACTGTACATCCATTGTAGTGAAGGAGAACACAGGTGTGGGCAACCGAATTGTATTTAACGAAAATTACAGAGTTACTCAGTAAAATAGGAAAACCATATCGTAAACGGTTAATTTGCACATCTTCAATCCATCTGACAGCTCACTGTTCATGCGTTTCATTCAAATTCCATTGTTTTCGAACTCTTCCTTTCTTGATCTTCCTCCATATTATGCTACCAGAATTTACGTTTACACTCGCGTCATATAATACTTATAATTAGCGCACACCACACCATGACTCCTACCACTCACAAGATTTGAACCTCTAGACCATCTGAACCAGCATCTAACCATGTTCATATCAATCTATAGTCTTGAGCAACTTCATTGTCTAACGCTGATCGATTCAT